CCAAGTTCTAGCATCGTGGACACAGGCCTTAAGCGCGAGCCAAGATATTTACTTAAATATCGCTGGAGCACTTCCTTTCGTGAAGTTGAACGAAGGCCGACTATTGGGATCGAAGGCTACTGCGGGCGTAGAAGCAGGATTAAAATTGAATCCTCCGGCTGGCGCAGATGTAGATGACTGTAACATTACAATAGTGTCAATTTATTTAAAACAAAAAAAGAAGAAGAAATTGGATTCTGCGGTAACAAACATTATACTGAAAATATCTGCATTTTTAATATGTTATATGTATATACGAATAGAATACAATGGTAATACGAATAAAGATATATATTTACCATTCCTCCAAAGTTAAAGCCTCCTGACGTTGCAGCAACTGGAGCCGTAGGTCCAAAATTGAATCCTGTACTCGACGAGGCTGTAGACGAGAACGACGACGTCGCTTGAGTCTGCGGATTTGTCTGTGGGGTACCGAATATCGGGGTTGTCACTGCACCTTGACCGAATGCCGCTGGTGTTTCCTGCTTCGGTGGATTGAACGTAAAATTGGCAGTGTTCGTTGGAGCGGCGTTGGCTCCAAATGTACCACTACCGAACGTGCTGTTGTTACTCTGCGATGTACTTGAGTTGCCACCAAAGGTGAAGAGCGGCTTCGCGGACGACGGGGCGGCCGGATTAACATTCGCAGTGAAGTTGAATCCGCCGCTTGCCGGCTGTTGCGACGAAGACGAGCCAAAGGTGAACAAAGACGAGCTCGACGCAGTGGCCTCGCTCGGCTTCGTGTTCGAGAATATTGTGGGTGTTGTCGTAGCACCGCCGAAAGCGGATGTGGTATTACCTCCGAAAGCCGGAGCATTGGACGACCCGAAGGGCAACGAGGCAGCAGTACCGCCGGACGCTGCGTCAAACGTTGAAAGACCACTCGCCACCGCGGGTGGTGAATTGAATACGGGCAACTTCGTCTCCGACGTACCGAAAATCGGTGGTTTACTCTCGGCATTACCGCCGAACGTTGAAATCTTGTTCTCGGGCATGGCAAATCCCGACGGTTTGCTGTCTGTTGTGGCGAACGACGACGGTTTTCCCGTGCCGAATGCTATCGTCGTTTTCGATTCGGTGAACAGCGGCGTGGAGCTCGAGACGATCGGGAAGAGCGGAGCGACCGGCGTGTCATTCGCGGCTTTCGTTGACGCAGTGGTCTCAGTTGCCTTGTTTCCTCCGAACGACACGCTCGTTGATAACACGCTCGCGGTGGATGATATCGGAGCCTGGCCGAAAGACGGTACTGTGGCCAGCTGAGACGATGTCTTTGAATCGGAAAATTTGAAAGTTTGAGCAAAAGTTGGAAGACAAGTAGTCGTTGCATTCGTGGAAGTTGTGGTAGCACTTGCACTGCTTACTCCAAATGAAAATATCGGGTCCGATTTTGCATTCGTATTCTTCGTAGTGTCTTTTGGGGCCAGTAACGATGGTAATGTCGTGTTAGTGTTGATTGGCACCGCGTCAGTTGCCGCTGCTGGCTGGGAGCTTTCTGTCGCAGCGATTGCGAAGGAAGTCTTCGGCGCTTCCTTACTTGAAGCGGGCTGATTAAATTCTGCTTTCTGTACGCCAAAAGTGAAAGAAGGAGCGGTCGACGGAGCGCTAGATACAACGCTGGTATTCTGTTTCTCACTTGCTGTTGTTAAACCATCACTTTTCGGCATGCCGAAAAGTGTCTTCTGTTTGGTTTCCTGATTCTGGCTGGTAGATTCCGACTTTTCGGGGCTTTTTACATTGAATAGAAATCCTGTACTACTAGAAGACGTTGTGACATTATTAGTTTTAGATGCATCACTTCCAGCCTTGTTCTCTTCCTTTGGAATGCCAAACGTAAATTGTGCCGTACCACTATTCTGTTGCGCATTGCCAAACTTGAATCCGTTTAAGGGAGATGCGTCGGATTTAGATTGCTCGTCGGCCTTATCCAGGCCAAATTTGAATCCACCTGGTTGGCTAGTCAAGTTCGTTGTACCAGACGGCACACCAAACTTAAATTGCAAAGTAGAGCCAGTATTCGATGAAGATTCGTTTACTTTTACGGCACCAGGCTTTAGAGCTTGGCAGGCCACACATTCCGTATGCTTTGCATCATTTTGCAGCAAGCAAGAATCGCAGGTCCACGAACCTTCTGGTTTTTTAAATTTGTCTCCAAACCCATTACTCGATTTCGGTTCCGTTCTGTTCGGCCCGCCGATGGAATTAGGTTTAGGAGTGCTACAGCAAGGACAGGTGGCAACAGAACTGTTGTTTCTAACAAGACATCCCGGACACTCCCAGGAATCCTTGCTTGGTTTAAATTTGTTCATCATTTCGGAATTACTAGATATTTCCTGCGTCGCCACGTCCTTCGTACTAGACGACCCTGTGACATTGTCCGTCTTCGGTTTTGCCTTTACAGAAGTCATAGGTTTAGACGCATTACAACAAGGGCACGTGATGACGTTCGCGGTGTTTCTTAGTAAACAACCGGAGCATTCCCACGATCCTTCGGCAGGCTTAAATTTCTCCATTAGATTGAAATTTTGAGATTTAACAGTTTGCTGCATCGTAGAACCACTTCCTGGTTTTGGCGTAGTGCACGCTACACACGTGGCATCACTCTGTTTGTTTCTTACACAGCAAGCTGTACATTCCCATTGATTTGTGGATAGTTTAAATTGAGAACCGAAGCAATCGTGTGCGACTGGCTTTGCTTTCACGACCGTCGTATCTGTCGTTGACGTCGACGGCAATGAAGCTTTCTCATTAGGATTGGCTCGAGAAATTTTACATGCAGTGCACTGCTTGTCTGTATCACTGTTCCTTATCATACATTCACTGCACTCCCAAGATGATTCTCCACCGCGTGTACTTGTAGTATCAGAATCTGAGCTGACAAACGTACTGGCAACCTTGTCAGTGTGCGACGTCTCAGAAGCCAATCCAGGATTGGACTGTCTGATTGAATTAGATTCCGCTTGGAAAGCTTTGAGAAGTAATAAGTCCATAATATTTTCCGGTTTCAGTTCCTGCACCACTGGAGAGCCAACGGAATCCTTTCTGCTCTTTACCTTCGCTTTTAATCTGGGTGCCGTAGACGAGCCACTCCAAATAAAATTCGGTCCGGATGCGACTGCGCGATCAATAGTAAATTCGTTCTCTGTTGTCGAAGGTGAATTCGGATCAGTCGTATTACTTGCGCAGTCTTCAGCATTGATCGGATTACTAAAGGTGAAATTGTTGACAGAGTGTAAACTCTTCCCGGCATCTGTCACCTTAATAGGGCTAGCAAATGTGAAAGTGTCTTTCTTATTTGCTACAGGTGTACCCGCGGAATACAAAGCAGGAGGTGGTAAGGTAAAGTTGAAATTGGGTAACGTTGTTATTGGCAGAGGTATGTTCGGTAAATTTACAGGCGCCACCGTTTTCTCCTGTTCTAAATTAATTTTAGATTTGCCCTTTAACTTGCCGCGATACTTTTTACTATCCTCCGTCCTGAAAAAAGTAGATTTAAATATTATTTATAAAATTTCTTCTTCGCTGGTAATTAAATAATAAATACTATTGTTAGATGAAACGGCTACAACTTTAATTGGAAAAACTTATCGTGAAAAATATTACCACGGCCAGGATTTTTCGCAACGAGTTTTTCTAGTTAAAATTATAGCCCAGTTTGCCGAGTATTATTTGTTTGCGTAAAATAAGGGCAAATTTACAGAACTGAAGTTGGTGCAACATACCTCAGCTGATAGTCCTGTTGAGACGGCGGTGGATCGCTACGAGCGGAAACGATTTTCCTAGCCACAAGTGTTGTGTCTTGTAACTTTTGCCTTCTTCTTAACTTCAGTATATCGGGGACGGTTGGTACTGTTAACTCACGCGTCAAATGACGCAAACCGATTCTAGCGGATGGACTTGCTATCTTTTCTTCTCGCGCTCTCTTCCTGCTCATTGCCGAAGAGGCAGCATTGTTCGTGTTTTTCAACGGGATCTTCTTCGCATCTGATATAGGCGACGAGAAATGTTCTAACGCTTCCAGTATCTTTTTGGCGGTCTGACTCATCCCCGACGAATCAACTCCAGTATCGGAAGGTTTAACTTCAACATTTGTCCTCCTTGGTACTTTAAGTTGCACCTAAAGCAAATATAGGCCGGTGTAATTTATTATTATATCGGCAAGTGATCTTTGTTTCAGGTAATTCGAGAGACGAGGGACCAACACCGTCCCTCGAGAACAATTAAGTATTGCGTACCTCGTTTGAATTGTTAAAAATGTTACGACTCCGTTTATAAAGACCTGCTGCATTTGCACCTCCGAAGGTAATATTACCACTATAAAAAGGGGAGGATAGAGGAGATGCGCGGTCTACAGCGTTTGTTACGATTGATGCGTTAAAACTCGGTCTACGACTGCTTAAAGTATCGCGAGAATTACTGTCTAGAAACAAGGACCTTGGAGATTGTAAATGATTAGCTGAAACAAAAAGATAAAACTTGTACAATTTATATCAACGCAGTATTCTTACCAAAAAAAAATTAGCAACTTTCAATCGAGCAACCAAAGAGCTTCGGCAAATTAAGTATATTTAATTAACCAATTTAATATCACACATTTGCAATTAACTGTCAAGGCAACGCGACTTGTACTTACTAAACGTCAATTTATCTTCATGCCTCTTCCTATTAGTAAATGTTGAATTATACGACAGGTTTGATGGGCCTTCGTGCCTGTTTATCTGTGGAATAAGCGAGCTGCATCCACTAGTACTTTCACTGGATTCCGAATTATCGTCCATCCCATTTGCTATTCCATTATTAGTCGAGACTAACGAATTTAAGTCGGACCTGTGAGACGTCACAGTCCTAATGTCCGCTTGTACTGCAGGAGTCGAGGATATTAAGCGGCCCATGCCGCTTGGTCCAGCTGTCGCAGGTTCCAGAAAATCTTCCGTCTGCAAACACAAGAGCTCCGGTAAGCAGAGTTCGCCCACCAACCAACACGTTTCATCGCGCAAGTCTCGTCTGGTTACCATTTCGTTATGAACGGGATACTGCTCTTTCGAGGGATCGACTGCATTCAGCGCAGTTTTAACTCTCGTTTGTATTGAAAATGTGCCAGGTGGATGAATCACGTCCATACGAATACGCGATCGCTTGGCAGGAGGAGGCTGCTGAGTATCGTCCTCGAGCTCTGTCTCCTCAACACTTCCTCTACCTTCTAACGCGTCCTCATTACCTTGAGAGGTATTGAACCACTTACTAATCCACGATGATTGTGGTATAAAATCTGTTACCTTGGTTGCCACTTTTCTCACAAATGACTGCAAACAACATAAACGCACAAATGTATAATACACGGCGTGCTAATGCGACACGGTACGAGTATTCAACGTACGCATGTTAATGCGAATCTAAATAACAAACAATGGTAACGTCCCACACGTGTCGTTGCAGGGAACAAAGACGATTTCTGACAACAATCGTACACAATTACATATCCTAGGCTCAAAGACGTTACAAGCAACGTCAAAATATAACGGAATAATACATTTGAATTCAGGGTAGGATTTAAAACGCCGACGACGGCACCTTCGAGTAGAGCGGAAAAGGAAATGGGGGAGATTTTGTACGGGAAAGTAACGTCACGCTGCGAGCCACGCCGAGCTTACGCTCTGCGTTTGGCCGGGCCGCAGGTGAGGGTGCATTTTCCGAGTTACAGTTCGAATTGCACGACATCACGCAATACGAGAAACGACGACAGCTTCTCCGTTCGGACTTTAACGACGCCGCGGCGCGACGCAAGGCTGGTGGCAGAGAACGATCTGTAAACTCTTGGGACTCTTAGGGTGCGTTCAGTTTCGCGCGTGATACGCACGACGCATCGTTTATCCTAGTTATTCACCAGATGTCCAAGGATAAATGACGCACCGTGCGTATCGTGCGCGAAACGGAGCGCATCCTCGGTCGTAGACGTAAAGCAGGGCGGAGGAAAACGTAGGTCGCGAAAAGCTATTTTGTATACGACTTATACTTTTCTCCGTCTCGCGTTACCTCTACGACTAAAACAATCTTGATTTTACGATCGTTCTCTGCCGTCGGCCTAACCGTGCGGATTCGCGCGGAGACCAACGCGAAGCGCGCGATGATCTTCGTGGCAAGGGGGGAGGGGCGAGAAGAGGCAGAGGGAAAGAGGGAGGGAGGGAGAGGGGGAGAGAGACAGAGAGAGTAAGAAAGGAAGAGACGGAGAGAGACGTGATTCGCGCTTCTCGTGCCCGGAGGCCAACGCGCGTCTCTCGCGCCTCGAGACGAGCGCGCGCGACACGCGAGGCACGGGGAAAGGAGATTGAGGTTATCGTCGGGCTCACTCACATAACCGTGACACTGCGGGTATCGCGCGGGGCTACCACGTCGTAGGAAAAGGGCGGGCATGCGGGACACCATGCGGCGAGGAGTCGGCGCCCGACGTCGGTCCGACCGCCGTGCCACCCTGACGAAGGGGCGCGCGAAGGGCACGCGGCCCGCCGCCACCGCCGCCGCCGTCGCCGCCGCGGCGGTGGTCGTCGTCGCCGTCGCGGGCTCGCGCGCACCGCGGCGGTCGCCCATCGCGGCTAGGCTACTCACGTTGTTCGCGTCGTAGGGCTTCGCGTTGCGCGACGACGGCCGCCTGCCGCCGGCCGGATTGCCGCCCTCCTTGGGCATGATTCTAGCCGTCCTTACGCCCAGCACCGTCGTTGCACGACGACCGTTACGAAACGCGCGCGCGCGTCGCGACCATCGCCTCCCTGGGAAATTCGGTCACCGCCGGAACCGCGCACCACCTTTCCAGCCTCCTTGCGGACGAGAGAGAGCCACGAGAGGGAATATGGCCGCGCTCGGATCACCGAGAACCGCCACCGGGGCGCCAGCGGGCTTCCCTCGAATCGCGCCTGCTGCCTGCCCCTCTCCACCCCGCCGTCCACGTGACGCACGCTACTCGCGCTCTCGCGCGGCGACGCTCGGCCAATCGGGAGCCGCGAGATCCGGAACTCTCTGCCGCCTCTCTCCGACGCGCCGAGTTCTGGACGCCGCTCCCCGCGCGGGACGAGAAGCAAACGCGATACGGCCAATCACGCTCAGGCGTGTACTTAAGCCCGTATCAGACTACGAATTGGGATTGGGATTAGATTGAAATTTAACCAATCATAGTAAAGTTTACTAATCTCTAGTTCAGTAACTTTTATTCTGATTGATCAAATTTCAATCTAATCCCAATCTCAATCCGTAGTCTGATACGGGCTTTATTGGCCGCGTTCAGCAGACTACTGTTGAGTGAGCGCTCAGTATGATTGGTTAAAGGCTGATTTATGATGGCCGTAACTGTTAATTTATGCCCAGTGAACTCTATACATTAGGGGAACAGTCGTCTCTGATTGGAGGATCTCCTTGTGGTTTACGTGTTACGTGTTAAGTAGATTCGTGTGTGAAGGCCTTTACGCAAGTTACGGCTCCATGTGAATCCAGCCTGAGGGTGCAAACTCATAAGTCCCAGTCTACAATAGAGATTTAAGCCCTAAGCCTTAAGAAATTGACTAATCACAGTCGCGCATTCTACTCATACTTGACCGTGATTGGCCAATTTCTTAAAGCTTAGGGCTTAAATCATCTATTGTAGACTGGGACTAAGGCCGGTATTTATAGTCGATTCTTATTTCAAAATCATCTCAAGTGTTGTCTTAAGAAGCTAATACGGCTCTGTGATTGGTTGAAAACACATTAGTCCCAGTCTACAATAGAGATTTAAGCCCTAAGCCTTAAGAAATTGACTAATCACAGTCGCGCATTCTACTCATACTTGACCGTGATTGGCCAATTTCTTAAAGCTTAGGGCTTAAATCATCTATTGTAGACTGGGACTAAGCCTTAAGCCGTAAGAAATTAACCAATCACAGGTGAGAGTGAGGGGAATAAATGCCTGTGACTGGTTAATTTCTTACGGCTTAAGGCTTACAGCTTACTTAAAGCAAGATTGTGGACCAGGGGTTAAGATGATCTTAAATATAAGAACGGACTATGAATACCGGCCTGTGATTGGTTAAAAACATATTAAGAGTGTACTTAAGATGATCTTAAATATAAGAACGGACTATGAATACCGGCCGAGCGGAACGGTGTACGCAGAAAATCGCGGAACGACAGCTTCGACCAATCACAAAAACATCGGAACACTCGTGATTGGTCAAGGCTTATCTTGATCTTCTCTCTCGCTCTCACTCGAACGCAAAACCGGTGATGTTTCCGAACGCATCTCTACCGAGCGCAGCCATTACCGCGGTTTACGCAGTCGAGCGCGGTGTTGTTTGTGACGTTGTGCCCAACTTTGCCTTATTTGAGAGAGGTTTGTAAATAACAATTCTCGATTTATCGGTAGTACTTCGTAGAAAAATATTTCCTTTATTTCGAGCATCGTGATGCATTTAAAAGTGAAGGATCTGCACGTAGGCGCTTTCCGATTTATGAATTCCAATCTCTCTTAACCTGTGTTTGTGTTGTTTTTCTACAATATCGCCTTTAAATGTTACATCAAAGATCGCTTACGCTGATTATTTATAGAAAAGACCAGCGGGTGATCGTAGTCTCGTATGCATAATTTTACTTGAACTTGTCCTACCATTGGTGACGACGAAAAGTATCTTTGAACTTGTGGTTTGCAGCGTGTTTCGATAAACTGTATGTAGCGTACACGTTGCATTGTTATTAACGGCCAGTATAATTGACGTGCAGATGGAGTCCGATTACGACGATGATCGCAGTGGTTGGGGGGACGAGATGAATCGAAGCACCGACGAGTGCAGCGGGGAGGATACGTTCGACAACCCGCAGGAGGTGCTGAACGAGTGCCTGGACAAGTTCAAAACGCCCGATTACATAATGGAGCCCGGCATTTTCGTCCAACTCAAGAGATACTTCCAGGCCGGAGGGAATCCCGAGCAGGTTATAGAATTGTTGTCCAAGAATTACACGGCCTGCGCGCAGACGGCGAATCTACTCGCGGAGTGGCTGATCCTCGCCGGAGTGAAGGTCACCGATGTGCAGGCGATGGTGGAGAACAATTTGAAGGACATGATCCTGAAGACCTTCGATCCCAAGAAGGCGGACAAGATCTTCACCGAGGAGGGTGAAACCCCCGCCTGGTTGACCGAAATGATACAGCATCCCACTTGGCGGTCCTTGATTTACAGGCTCGCCGAGGAGTATCCGGACTGCTTGATGTTGAACTTCACTATCAAGCTCATTTCCGACGCTGGATTCCAAGGCGAGATCACGAGCATCTCGACGGCGGCGCAGCAAATCGAGGTCTTCTCGCGCGTATTGAAGACCGCGATCGCCGGGTTCCTTCAGAACACGGAGAACTGGCAGTCCAGCATACAAGAGTGTGCGAAAATGGTGTGTCACGGTCAGCACACCTACGTGTACAGCCAAGTCCTGTTGCAGATTCTTGCGCAGGAACCCCGCGGCGGTTTCATGATGAAGAGACTTTCCCAGGAAATCACCAAGTGCGCGCAACAAAATCGACACGACGTCACCCCGATAACGATGGCTCTCAATAGCGCTGCCAGTAGTCCTGGGGCGTGTCAGGCACTGGCGTCTATGCTGTCGAGAAACACCCTGAATCCGGCCGATATCACAGTCTTGTTTAGAAATTATTCTGCAGCGGAGCCACCTCCTATCGAATTGCTGCGCAATCCACAATTTTTGGGTAAATTGATGGAGTTACTCACAGCGATACAAAAGAGATCAAAGTTTTCTCTCTCCGTCATGAATTTCTCTCCCTGCTGAGTCAAAGTATCGCGATTTATTCAGCTACTTTGAAATCTAATTAGAAGTCTTGTAAGAGATCGAATAGAACTAAGATGGATGTAAAAATTTTGTTTCTTTTCACAGAATTACTGGTCGATGCGCTTTTTAAGCCTGGCGTGAAGATAAATCCTGAGCATAAATCGAAATACATACATTTACTAGCTTATGCGTCGAGCGTATGTGAAACAGCTCCTAAAAAGAGCAACACCCGCAAAATTAACAAGGACGAGTTGAAAACGACCATCCAGGCAATTGAGAAAGTGCATAATATATGTAACATAAATAAAGGATCGACCGAGCTAATAGCAGAGTTGCATACTTTGTATCAAAGCATACGGTACGAACACCGATTTCTAATATCTTTACTCCGTATCAAGGGGGAGGAAGCACTAATAGATTTGTATTCTCGCCCTGTACTCTCGATGATCTCATTGTAGTTTTTACCGAGGAAGACCCGGAGAAGGGTCGAAACGTTTATGCTGTTAAAGAGAAATTTTGATTCTAAATTGTGAGAACCGAGTTCCGTTCATTTTGTGGCTCACTCTCCTTTCTACATATTTTCTTTTCGGGAGCCTTCACAAAACTTCGGTGCACTAATAGATTTGTTTATTACAGATTTCCCGTCGTAAGCGTGGGCGTGATACGATGGGTGGAGTGTACTGTGACCGAACCGTCGTACTTCAAATTATGCACCGAGCACTGTCCTGTCCACCTCGCTCTGCTGGACGAGGTCGTAGCTTGTCATCCCTTGTTGCATCCAAAAATCTTGAGATTACTCGTGCACTTGTTCGAGAGCAAACAAGACGAGTTGGAGATACTCGTCCAAGTAAGCATATCTCATACGGCGCTGATTAAAGGAACAAACGGTTATCGATATTTCGTATAAATAATTGTTTTCTGCCCGTGTAGTTGGAGATGAAAAAGATGTTAATCGACAGAATGGTGAATTTGCTGAGCAGAGGCTGCGTAGTACCCGTTGTGTGCTACATAAAGCAATGCTGGCAACGTGGAGATACGGATATATCTTTAATCAGATATTTCGTTACCGAGGTGAATTGGTACTGTTCTTACGATTTGTATCGATAATGTCGACTTTACTACAACGTGGGTATTTACAATGCTAGGTCTTGGAAGCGATCGCCCCTCCGTATACAGCTGAGTTTGTGCAACTATTTTTACCGATGGTAGAAAACGAGGAGATTACTGGGACCATGCGCGGGGAGAGTGAGAACGATCTAGTTTCAGAATTTATTGGTAATTTGATAAAACATTGATAAAACGAGTAACTTGCCGGAAGTACTTTTTGTCACATAAAACCCGTTTTATTTTTCAGTACACTGTAAGACACATTGTCCCGTTGTAAGATGACGGTATAAAAATTAATCGCAGATAGGTCAAATCAAAAGGAAGCAGTGACAGTGCGAAGGATGTTTTTATTTTATCTAGAGATCTCCTCGTACATATTTATGGCTATAAATGTATTGGATGAATATTCTGCATCCATCTGTGATATTGTCATCTAGACATTTTCTGTAACAAAAATATTTGTACATCATATATTATCGACATCACATAAATGTTACAGATTTTAAAGAAGAGATGAGATTTGTTAATAAACACGTGAAGGCAGAGATGTTAATTGGCCTTGAAGAGGAATTTTAATCGCCGTTGTGGCTTGATATTCAAACAAGATCTTGTATAAAGGATGAATATTACATGTATAAAGACATTCATGCCGGGAGTACAACAACACTGCTTGGAGTAATGAAATGTAAATGTAATGATATGACGAACAATCGTTGGGTCTTTCTAAACGACACACAGGCTGAGTTCTAATATTCACTGCCAGTAATATTGAAAATGTATAGCGTACATCAGGGATCCACAGAAAAATGAAAAATAACTGAATTATTAGTGCGAGATCCAGAGTTGCCAGAAGCGTGCCTCGGCAGTGAAGGAATTGCTCTTGTCACAAAGTTTTCAACGATATGAAATATAAGATAGATATAAATTTAAGTAATCAATGATATATAAAATAAGTAAAAACATGTAACCATAAACATAATATAATTAAGAACAAAACCAAGAGGGAATCGACTTTACCTCACATCCACGTGGTAATTCCTGGGGTAATTCAAGGAAGATAAAAAAAAGATAAATTCTAAATTTAGCTGCTATAATTTTACATGTGGCCCGCCGAAAAATTTACTTGCGCACCCCTGACGTAAACTATAACTTTTCAGTACTGACAGTGAATACCGGAACGCGATCACAGTAAAGACGCAATCGCACCAGAAGCTTGATTGCAGTTGGAGTTAAAGTTTACTGTTAAAAATCAATCGGTCGAAACAAAGCAGTTTTCTGACTAAAATTCTATAGTGCAAAAATTAGTATGTCTCGAGGAATAAGGCAAGACTGCCGATTGTATCACACAATGATTAAATCCAGGAGGCAAAGGCTTGCTTTCCGAAATGAGTTACCACACCTGCGTCGAAAAGTATTAATATTAAAGGCATTTCATCAACACGAGAAACATTTCTCTAAAAGACACATTCCTAGCTTCAACTTACTGATCGTTACGATCACATCTTTTCAGCTGTAACAGAATACATTGTACATGTAACAAAAGCGTAAAAGAATAAATACTATGAAAGAGTATTCTGTGGTCTACAAAAAGAGAGAGACAACAACAGAAATGACGTAGTAGACAAGATTACATTCCGGCATTATCAACGTAAATTCGAGGAACGTGATAAAACCCGGAGGGCATACGTACTGATAGCTTTCCCGTCCTTCCACTGAGTGAACTTCACATTGACTTCGTCGCGTTTCGCGGCCTCCGTCCTCAGGTCGCTTTTCAGAGCCTGCCTGACTAACCTAGCTGCGATTTGGGAATAATTGATGTAGCTGTAACGAGAAGGAGGAGAGGGAAATCAGTAACGCGTAACGTCGCCCGGCTCGCGCGGCGCTTCGTCACCCGCAAAACCGGCGATCGACAGCGATCGTGCGCGATCGAAATGAGATTTCACGTCGATTAGCGCGCACGGCGGCCCGATTACATAACGATCCCGAGAAAGTGTATCGCGAACCAAGGCACACGCGCGAGGGAGAAGACGCGAGACACTGCGGGGCCGTTGACGGCAATCGAGTCCCTTACTTCAATCCCGCTTGCCTCCACGCTGTCATCTTTTCCGTTAAGTATGTCCGGCGAGGGGCGAGAAGAAGCGGCGACTCCGTACGATTCTCCGTGCACCTCACCTCACGTCACGTCACGCGTCGCGGCGTGACGTCAGCGGCCGCCCTCGCCCTCCCTCCGCTGCCGCGCACGCTCGGACGCGCTCTGGCGTCGGAGTCGCGGGACAATGACGCGCGCCATCTTGTCCAGTGTCCGTCGAGCGCGTCGCGCGTCGGGGTGTCGTCGTCGCGGGGTCGTAAAGCTGCGCGAGCGAGCGCGAATCGGTGGTGTTGCCGGAGCGGCCCGCGATAAGACGCGCGCGTGAGCGCGGCGCGAGGAGCCCGGAGCGGGCTCGGACTCCCCCCGCGAGGCCGGGTGTAATATGCACTGCGCGTCCCCTCGGTGCGTGGCTGCGGCGACGGCGACGAGGACGGGTTCCCGCGCGGCGAGCGAGCGCCGACTCCCGGAGGAGCCGCCGCGACGGTGGACGTAACGTCGCGACGCCGGCGAGGACCGCTCGAGAGGAGGAGAGGCGAAACGAGACAAGAAAGAGGAGTCGCGGGAGCGAATGGCGACGGCGGCGACGGCGGCGGTTCCGCCGCGGCTAGCAGCGGCCGTCCCTCCCGTTGTCGCGTCGGCGGAGAGCGGCGTTCAGGTGAGTGTCGAGAGGGTAGCGGCGCCGCTCTGATCGATAACGCGCGCGCGCGCGCGAGCGCGTCCTCTTGCTGTCCTCTCAACCTTCCCGTTTCCTCTACCGCGTAGGTGGACGGGGGACGAGCGCGCGCTCATCCCCAGCCGCGCGCGAGGGGAGCTTTCGCGCCGTCCGGTCCGTATGGCGACGGCAGCGAGAACGGACGGAATCGCGCGCGCGCGCGCGCGCTTGTGCAAATCGACAGAAGTGAAAGCTCAGCCTCGCGGCCGCGGTCGAGGCGACGGAACCGCGAAGGACCGCGCGAGCGTTTTTGCTCCTTCCGGGGCGAGATATTGGTGGAGCGCGCGGAGACGACGCCGTGTCGCATTGATACGTCAATATCGAGCGACGATTGTTCTCACGGGTGTCGCAACATCGCGCCGTCTTCGTAGCGTCTCGCGACGGCGCGTTTCGGTAGCGTCGCGAGAAATTGTTAGCAGGACCGTCATCTGTCTGCGGAATCTCCGCTTCGCCGTCGCGAGGGAATGGCAGAGAATAATCCGTAAACGCTTAAGACTGTCTCAGTCGTAGACGTAGGGCAAGGCAGGGAGAAACGTAAGTCTCGTATACAGTAGCCTTTCACGACTTACGTTTCTCTCTG